GTACTATTATGCTTGGAAGTGTGAACATAAATTCTCAAATTTTTTACATGGTTTAAAGTATTGATATTATTTACCACTTACATTTAAACTAATTGATATGCATTAGTATGGCTTAGTCGTACATTAGTTATTGAGTAGTTGTACTCACCTCACTATCTTCAATATTACAGGAAATAGCTCGAGAAGCTCGGATAGAGGAAAGCTTCTAGAGGCTTAGGACTATGATCGTAATTTGTATGCCTCTTTATTTTTGAGTCATTATGTGTATTTGACAATTTTAATTGCCAACTAGGGATAGTTCATTTTGATTCTTACTTGCATGATGTGATTTGTGAAGTTGTAAATGTATTTTGGGCCATAAGGAGTGAGTTGATGATATATTTGATATGTGATAAGGCCAAAATACTAATGCAAGTAAGAGTAGTGCATATTATGTGATGATTATGGATTACTTATTGCAAATGTGCTTAAGCTCCTCCTTGTATTTTTTTAGATTGAGGGGTTGAGTAGTAAAAATTTGATTTATGAGTATTTCTAATGATATGGTGCATTGCACAAGTTAGTTTTAATAATTTGCATGTGATCAAATGGGTTTCAGGGGTTTTTAGCTTTTGGTAATGGATTGGACACTTAGCTTTGTGAAAAGTACTGCAAGAGTGCAAGTTTTTGAAAAGAGTGTCTAAATTTTGATTTAGTAGTCATTTGATTATGAAACTAAAGTCATTAGCTAGAACTCAAAAAGAGCTTTCCATAAACACCTAATTCACATCAATTGGACGTTGGACGGAGAATTGAGGCGCATTGAAAGTTGCTCCAAAAGCTATCAAATTGACAATAGAATCTATTGTCAAAATTCGTGCAATTGTACCACGGCACATGGCACCACAAGTCATAGCGCACATCACAAAGGTGAACACATTGTGGCACGTGTTTGACAAGCCACGGCACACACCTTAAAAATTTTTGAAATTTTCTTGTTTTCAAATTCTTAATCAAATGCACATATGTTTCAAATGATCCCATGCTTCTGCATATTTGTGAACTCTAACTTGTCTAATTGTAAGACTTTGAAAATGGTTTAGTTTTGTAAACTTGGGATCCCAACTTTTCTAACTATTGGAAATTTAGTATCATGTTAACTACTTTAATCCCATTTTCTTATTGTTTGAGAATTAATTTTAAATATGGGATTAGAAAGAGGAGGATATTACAAGTTCCTTCTTAGATTCTTCCTTAAAGAGAACCTCATCCATCACAGCATAGGTCTCATTTGTCGTAGCATCATTGGAACTTTTGTAGTTGTTGGGCCTAGTCATAGGTTGATACGGTTGTTTTCTCCAACTTAACAGTAGGGTTTCATATGCTTGGAATTTAGAAATTAAGGAGAGTTTTTGCACATTTCAAGAGTTTAAGGTCCAGAATACTATTAAGGAAATAGTTTAGGATCATCCTTATTTTAAATATGATATTTTAAATTTAAAATTTAAACCCATCAATCCGAGTGGTATTTTATATTTTTTGCCAATAAATTTTTATTCAATTATTATTTTGAAACGTTGGCAAAAAAATTATATATTATGAAAATGCTGAACTTAAAATGCTTTCAATTCTTTTTTAGTTAATCAACATTTTTTAGCAATAGGACCTAAGGATGTACACATTGTTTGAAACCCCAATTAGCTCTACCTTACTCCAGCTATTCAAGTTTATTGGGTTAGGCACAAATAGAGTTGTCAATTAAGATTAGCTAGGCCCTAAAAGGGTGAGGATTAAGAAACTTGATTATACCTCAAAGGTTCCCTTTTACAAGGTTTGACACTGGCTCTTAGGGCTAAAGGGTTGGCCCTTAAGGCCTCAACCCTATTTTTTATTTTTAAATTTAAAAGTATAAAAAATATTTATAATTACTAAAAAAAGTTATTACATATAAGATTAAGTTTAGGAAAAAAATTTAAGTCAATTCACATCAAAAGAAATATATAAAACTTAACTATCCAACTAAAATATCAAATAATAATATCAAAATTAATACTAATACAAAATTATACTTTGCTAACATTATTAGTTAAATCTTGATGAATGAATGAATGAGGGAGGGTGGAATAAGTCTAAGGTGTTCATTGCTTTTAGTTAGATATTTAATCTTTTATATTTTTTAGATTGAAATTTTAAAAAAAAATATTAAAAAAAGGGCTAACCTTTTTATTTTCAAACTTAAAAGAGTTGGCCTTTTTAAACTTGAATTGCTATTTTCTATTCCAAAGTAATAGCCCAACCTTAATTATTTTCAAGCCTAAAAGGGTCAATTCAATGGTTTCAGCTCTAATTAGTAGCTCTAAACACCAAACCCCTACATTGCCTTACCTAAACATATGCAATTTTTTTTTAAAAAAAATTGTGAATGATATTATTTTATGATATTATTTTGAGTAAAATACTCTGACTTTCCCTCTATTTTACTTTAATTACAAATATCTCCCTTTTATTTTTGAAACATATACAAACCTCCCTAATATAAATAATTACAAAACACAAACATTTTTTAAAATTTTATTTCTATCCACCTAACTGTTAGTTGGCCGTTAGGTCAGATAAGTGGTCTAAAATACTTTTCTTTAAATGTAAGTATTGTCTAAAAAATTCAAATTACCCAAAAAAAATCAATGCATATATATTTTTTACTTTTTTATTTATATTTTTAAAATTTTAATGTATTTATTTGGTCATTTAAAAATTAAATACACAAATTTCCTACAATAATACTCAAACACATTTAAAAATTATTAAATAAGAACTGAATATAATAAATTACTCAATATAATTTATTTTTATTTTTATTTAAATTAATTAAATATTGACAAATTTAATTACATATTAAAGATTGAACTAAAGTGTGGATTTTAAAAATAAAGAGGTCGTCCCTGTAATTTTAGTAAAACAGAAAGTTGTCACTTTATTTTACTCTATTATTTTTTGTTGAGAGCTATCATACACTATATTATTGTTATGATCTTTTTGAATATTTATTACTATTACAATTTTTTTAATCTCTTCCAAAATTTAAAATTTATTTTAATTTAATATTATATGAAAATAATTGACAATTGCTGATTTTATATAATTTTAAAAAAAAAGTATTTTTAGTCAATGATTTCAAAACTTGACTAAATCAAATAGTTTGACCTATTGGACCGCTGTCCGGTCATTATTTCAGCTCAGTCTAGTCAAGCTAGTCATTGCATCAAATTTGATCTCTCTTGAGAGGTGGTTGGATTGTGAACTTCCTAAAAGTCACAAACCAAAACGATTTTTAATGAAGCAATTCACTTTTTCGTCATTTCCCTCTCAATTTTAACCCTAAAATCCCACATTTTCCTAATTTTTCGTCAAGGCTTCACTCTTTAGGCGCGCACTTGATCGTGATTCTTCAACAGCAAAGAGAGTTCAAACTTCAAACCTAAGACCACAACTCCTCCTCCCTCACATCTTCTCGCCAAGCTCCAGCCTCCACTCCAAAATCCCAAGGAAGCTCCCGCCTCTGTTCATCTCGTCTTTGTATTATGTAAGTCTCCTATTCCTACTCAAATTAGTTATACTTGTTTAGTGAGGAGATTTTGGGCTGAAACTTGAGCATAGGGGATTGGATTGTCCTTTTTAGTAAATTTCTTTATTTTCTCCAATTGAAAAGTGCATAACGCCAAGGTCTCAAAGTGTAATAAAAATAGATTCTACCCCACACTCCATACCAAGAGCAATCTTTAGAGTTAGGGATATTCACAGGGTGAAACAAGACCAGGACACTCCTGTCTCATACCCAAACATAGACTCAAAAAATAAACTCATTAGATTACTTAAATGTCAGCAATCTAAATTTGTGTTTTTAATTCTTCAAATCAATATCAATAATTATGAAAAAACATCTCGCAACTTCCTTGCCTCGACCTAATATCATAGAGCAATGTACAATAAATAAAGTAAAATTAAATAGAAAATATAAACAAATAAACAATAACATATATACTAAAAGAAATATATATATATATATATATATATATAATTTTGGGATGGGACAAGATATCCTGTAGGGTGTCCTGAGTTTTGCTTCGTCTCAGCTCCTTTTCTATCCTATGGAATGAGTACAACTATGAAACTTCACTATTTAATATAATGTATTGATCAAGTTTTTCTATATTACTACACTACCCCATCTAGAAACATTGTGCCACCACAAGGGAATATAGCTTCAGTACTTTTCTTGGCCTCAATGTGTTTAGGTATTGAAAGAATAAAGATGAGTGATTTTGCAGCCTTGTCCAAAAATTCAGCTTTTCACATAACCATATTCTTACTCAAACCAAAAGCTTTTCTAAACGATAGGAATGGATCCATTATTTTGTCAAAATATGAATTGCAGTGATATTGGTATCCTGTTAATGGAGAATTGATAGATACTCTTGGCTTGTTAATTTATAATTAACTAAAAATATTTAATTTTATTTTCATATTATGTAGCAATTTTATATTATATATACAAATTATATATATACACATACGCATACTTATATATTTGATTTTTCTTTTTAGAAAATATTATTGAAAGAATTTAATATTAATAAAAATTTTAACATATATATAATTGCCAAATAACAACAACGGCAGTTAATTTGTCAATACATATTTCCTCCGTTTACTTTATTGATTATATTTTAAAAAAAATAAAATAATTCACTTTATAAATTATTAAATTAATAGTGATGTTTTATTTTAAATAAAATGTATAAACTATCTTTAAAAAATAAGAAATAAAAAAATAATATTATATAATTTATTTACTTTTTAAAAATTATATTTATAATTTTATTAAATTTTATTTATTATATTTTTATTATATTGATACTAGTAAAATTAATAAAAATAATTTATAAACAATATCGAAGAAAGTACTTGTTAAAAATCATATTAAATTCACCAAGTCTTTCGTTTGTATCCTCTCCTGGTGAAGCCTTTACGTTTGATTGAATTGAATAACTTCATAGAAAAAAGGGAGGCCGAGCCAAAGATGAGGAAGAATGAAACGGAGAAGAACAGAGACGAAGTGGAAGAGCTTCTGCGAGCAGCTCAGGACGAATTGTTATTGAAGCTTTCTCTGGACTCTCACATAGCTTCTTCATCTTCAATCTCAGCTCCATCAAGCACCACTCTGGATGTGGATCTGGAACGCCGATTCCAAGCCCTCAAATCAAGCCAATCCTCGTGGAAATTGTAAGTGAAGATCGGGTATCCAAACTGTTCTTGGCGACGATCTCTTCACTAGATTCGATGCTCTCAAGGTCAAATCAAATCCATCATTGAAGCAGGCTTCCCTGGATCCCTCTACTGGAGAAGAAGATGAAGATGAAGATGAAGATGAAGATGATCAAGTTGAGAAATTGATTCAGTGGGCCAAGGATGCCGCGCGTCTAGAACCTTCTGCTTCGTCCGACGACGACGACAGCGAACAACAAAACCAGGATCGAAGAAAAGCGGGAGTAACTTTATTTACTTTTTGTAATTGCGCCATCTCGACTTCACACGTAGTAGACTTCGGTAATTTTTTTTTTTCCTTTGGTAATTTAATACAATTAATATATTTCTACCTGTGTAATTACTTGCTGCGTGAGACGAAACTGATTAATTCAATATAAATAAAATTCCCCTCTGGATTGCGACTCGACTTCTTTGATTTGGGTCTGAAGATTAATCAAGATCAAAACCAGACACTTTCACTGCAATGGTAGGAGAAGTATGATGGAAATATAACCAAAACCTTGAGTTTCAGTATTCAAATTTTGAAACTAATCTGAAGTATGGAAAAATTGCAGGGTGCCACCCAAGCACCACCATGAAAGCAGATAAGGATGTTGAGGAATTTAGAAATTGAGAGTAATTTCATGTCAAGTGCAGCAAGAGTGTCTTTTTACTCTTGAGAAATGCAAGAACACATGATGCAAATAAGGCAAGCTCATGCCCAAGTAATCACTTGTGGACTTGAAAACAACAGCTTTGCTCTAAGCAGAGTTCTAGCCTTCTTCTCTTCAAGCCCACATCACAAAAACTCAGCTACGCCTGCAAAATTTTTGAACGCATTCACCAACCCACAATTTGCATCTACAATACCATCATCAAACCTTCCTGCTCCACAATAAACTCGCCAGTATCATATGTTTGTTCACTGAGATGCTACACAATGGCTTAATTCCTGATAATTACACCATCCCTTATGCACTAAAGGCTTGTGCAGGCCTAAAAAGTTATCCTCTAGGAAAATCAGTTCATTGGGTGTAGCTTGAAAACTTGGTCTTGTGTTTGATATTTTTGTGGGTAATTCTCTGATGGCAATGTACTGTGTGTGTGGAGATATGGGATCTGCACGACAAGTGTTTGATGAAATGCCAAGCCTAAGCTCTGTGTCTTGGACTGTGATGATATCAGGGTACGCAAAGATGGGTGATGTTGACACGGCTAGATTTTTCTTTGATGAAGCATTTGAGAAGGATAAGGGCATATGGGGAGCTATGATTTCTGGCTATGTACAGAACAATTGTTTCAAGGAAGGTCTTTATGTTTGTCGTTTGATGCAGATGACTGATATAGCACCTGATGAGTCTATATTTGTTAGCATTCTTCCTGCTTGTGCCATCTTGGAGCCTTAGATGTTGGCATTTGGATCCATAGATACTTGAATCAAACAAAGATGCCTATGAGCATTCGCTGAGCACTAGTCTATTAGACATGTATGCTAAGAATGGGCATTTGGACTTAGCCAAAAGACTTTTGAATCCATGTCACAAAGAGATACAATTTGCTATAATGCTATGATTTCTGGGATGGCAATGCATGGAGAAGGAGAAAATGCACTTACAGTGTTTTCAGATATGGAAAAAGCTAAGATCAAGCCAGATGATCTAACATTCCTTGCTGTTTTCTCTGCTTGTAGTTATGCAGGAATGGCACACGAAGGCTTGAAATTTTTGATAAAATGATTAATGCATACAACATTGATCCTAAAGCTGAGCATTATGGTTGTAGTAGACCTACTTAGCAGAGCAGGGCTGTTTGAAGAAGCTAAAGTTATGATAAGAAGAATGAGCCATTCTTCAAATAATGACCCTGAACAAGAAGCATTGGCTTGGAGAGCATTCCTGAGTGCTTGCTGCAACCATGGACAAGCCCAAATGGCTGAAGCTGCAGCTGAAAGACTCTTTCTGATAGAGAATCACAGACCAGTAGCTTCTAACTCAATGATCTCTGAATCATCTTCCGAATTTAAGGATCCGAGTTCGAATCCATATCAGAGTGAGATTAACTAATGAACCCTGAACAAGAAGCATTGGCTTGGAAGCATTCCTGAGTGCTTGCTGCAACCATGGACAAGCCAAATGGCTGAAGCTGCAGCTGAAAGACTCTTTCTGATAGAGAATCACAGACCAGTAGCTTCTAACTCAATGATCTCTGAATCATCTTCCGAATTTAAGGATCCGAGTTCGAATCCATATCAGAGTGAGATTAACCAAAAATGTTTGAGATTAATAGCAGTGGGGTGTATGTTATGCTTTCTAATTTATATTCAGCAGCTGGGAAGGAAGACTAATGACGCCAGAAGGGTGAGGATGATGATGAAGAAGAAAGGAGCACATAAAGCACCTGGTTGCAGCTCAGTTGAGATTGATGGGATTGTTAGTGAGTTTATTGCTGGTGAGAAAACACGACCACAAATGGAAGAAAGAAATACAGAGAGTTTTGAAGAAAAATGCATTTACAGTTCGATTAGTTGTTGAGAACGTTTTATAGTGGAAATTTGAAAATCAACATACCAAAATTTCTCGTGCCTTACAACTGTTATGTTGAATTTACAACCTTCACGTGTATTTGATCCCGTCATAATTTTTACTCCCTCTATTTACTATTGTAAGTTTATATTTTGTAAAGTTTTATGTTTTAATTTGCAAGGCATTTGCATAATGTTAAGAGTAGTTAATGTGTTTATCTTGAAAATATCCTTGATAAATAAAATTTACAATTACTTGACTTCTATTAATTTGGTTCATTCCCCATTAAAAGAGCCAATTGTATTTAATGAAAGAGATATATATATATCTATATATAGTATGTATGTATGTATGTATATGTACCTAAGATTTAAATGTTTTAAACCATCTTAACTAGTTGCATTAGTCCATGTGAATTATTATTATTATTATTTTTTCTCCTGTCCGAGTCTATGTGCAATTAGTTGATCCCTTATAAGAAGGGAATATGTTAATTTAGGAATGTTTGATTTGCATTGGAGACAGCATATACATATGTTCTCAAGACAAGCTTTTGCATGAAACAATTACCTTATTTATCACAGCCAAAATAATTAGTTATAATGAGGTTAGAAGCTATGAATATGTTAATATAAATTTATGACACAAAAAACTTTATTTATTTGATAATGATATTAAGAATTTCCTAATGACTTATTAATTGACTAGGGCTCATTTATTATAAAGATATAAAAAGAAACTGTTGATAAAAAAGTGTTTGTTTCGAATAAAAAAAGCATTCCCCAAATTCTCTTTAGAAAGTAACAGGAGTATCCTATTCCTATATGCCACATTTAGCCTGCAAAATTACTTGTACATTGCAACTTTTGCTTTCAATTTACAACCCGTTGCATGTGTGTGTATACTTGTCATTACATATTTACACCTTACTTGGAATGAATTCTTCTGAACAAAATCGCATCTAAAGATTTGTGAAAAAAAAAAATTATTCGCAAACATAGGCTAATAATAAATCACCATTAACATAATAATAATAAGTATATGTTTTTATTTTAACAAAAATTCATTTTTTATTGATATTTATTTGGGAATAACTTTTGGGAAAAACTTATATACTTATACTTATACTTATATATTTAAGGTGTTTATATCCAATTAAATTAAGATATATTACATGTCATAATTGATTTGATATAAATATATTAAATATATAAGGCTAAGTATATAAGTCTAATTCATAATTTTTTTCATGTCTTTAGATGTGATTTTCCCGTCCTTCTTTGGCGGGCATAATAAATTGGCAAAATTTTGCGTGGACAAGAATTCATTTCTTATCAACCCAACCCAATGCCATCTTTAGCCAACCATGCTGTCTGTAGCATCTTTTCCAATAATGGTACAAGCCGACTTTTTGCATACACTCAATATTTATGCAATCACAAGCAAAATTACCACTCATATATATGCGCATACATATATGTACACATACACATAAATACACATTCGCATATATGCATGTTGTATTGTGCACAATTGCTTGTGAAACATATAGCACATATCCATACTTGTCTTATTTTTTTCATTATGAGTTCAATATCCTTCAATTAATCCACTAACATCATAATATGGCATTTCAGGTTTTAAAATTTTCTCCAAAGTTTGTATTAATATATTATATTACAATCTCTGAACATTTGATGAAATTAACCATGATAATCAATAATTCTAACAAACAAAAAAAGACACTTACAAATAAATTATTTATTCTTGATTGATTACGTTCATTTAATTTAAACATTAAAAATCAATAAACATAAAAAAGTAGCTTTTGAAAAAAAAAAAAACATATATAACTATAAAAGATCCGCCAACAAGTTTCTCCATTTACAACTTCATACTTAAAACAATCATAACTTCTTCCACTAAAATTAACGACGCCTATTAATACAAATTAGCTTTTAAAAAAAAATCATAACATATTAGCCCTTTTCAAATAAAAATCCATTAATCTAATAACTAAGTTATTGAATTTTCCGATTAATAAAACTTTCCTTTCAAACCCTTTAGTACTGTCTCTCTCACAAGCACAAGGGGCCCGGTGATTGTTTTTCACTCCTTCTATGAGATTTGTCTAAAAAATATTGAACAATTCCACAAGTCTCGGTAAAACCAAGGTCCAATCCATCTCATGTATATCAAACTTAGTGATATGAAATGTTCATCCATATGTAAAAAGAAAAACAAAATAATTATGACACAGATTAGACCAAAATTGAATAACCTATTCTATCATTTCACTGAGATTATCAGATGATCAATTGTTTCAGTAATTACACAATCAACCTTCCTGGGGAATAAAATGAAAAGAGAATATATATGTATTTGTGTTCATCAAACAAGGAAGTCAGCATCAGAAACTTCAAGGACTTTGTGCTCACCAATGGGGTTCACACCAGGTCGGAATGCATTTCCTTCAATGTACCTGTGAAGAAGAACATTACTCAGTTCAAAGAATAACAGATTATGGATCATCGTGTGAGAGAATCTTAGGGAACACTTGCACAACACTTCAAAAGATTAGAAAACCCGTTTTCAAAAATGCTTGTGAGCTGTGAATGTCTATCCAAACCAAGTTTTGGATCCGGTGAAAAGCCTAAATCCACTCATTCAATGAGTAACGTAAGTATAGCCATTGAATTTCATTGATACTTGTAAATTATCGAATACATTGATAAGAACACTCCTCACGTATGATATCCCCTTCAAAAATTTAAGATTTGATGTTTCTTGAGTATCATATAACAATCTCTAAAAATCATTTAATTAAATCGATCGGTTGCTATCATGCCATATGTCACACTTATTGAGTGAGTATA